TCTTAACGTTATTTACAGAAGCAAACTATTAACCGCTTGAGTCCCAGACGGCATTCATTAATGTCATAACAATTGATTATCTATTGTGTCTAGATTCGCGGGCCTTGAAGGATTAATGAGCTTGTTACTCATTAATTTATTCCAGCGGATTTTCATCCCTACCATCCGATTTGCCAATAAATCTGTTATTTCACATCCATGTTAGGCTTAATTGGAGGTGAAATTACAAATAATTTTCGGAAAACCGCTGCTCGGCAATTAAAATGAACCCTAATTTGCTGGATATTTCAAACGGCATTAATTAGTGCTAAACAAGAACTATTCGGATTTTGGGTGCTTGATTAGGCTGGGTACGGTTTCCTATGAAACGCTATACGCGGCTACAACGTCAACATCCAACGTTCTATTAAAGTAAGCGTCCACTTGTCGGTATCGTACGCATCGGACGTATCGTACGAAACACATCATACGCTAAACGCTATACGCAGCGTACGACGTCGGCGTCCCGCGTTTCTGTCTATGTCCATAGTGTCAATACTGTTGGGTTCCAACATTAAGATTTTAATATCATTCATTCGTTCGCTCTTGTGACGTCTGTATTTGCGCGCCATCGCGCCTAGTAGCAACTCTTAGAGTAGGCGCACACCGTTGATTTTTAGTTGGCCGATAGTTGTGCCCGATTTTAATTTGTATGAAGAATCGGCCAAATCGAATCGGCGTAGTGTGCGCACTCCCATACATGCCCATACTGATCAACTGCCCGACTAAACTATCGGCCGACGAAAAATCAACGGTGTGCGCTTTCTCTTACTCCTGCCTTTACGCTTGTGCTGTATTTAACTTAAATTGTGCAGATCTGACAATAAAGTGAATTTATGAAACACGCTCTTTTCAATCACCATCAAGTCCGCTGCCCTACAAATACGCCAACGTCTGAAGGAAACCACAACAGTAGGTATATTTCTAAAGTAAGCTATAACGTGACGATGTCCGCGGCTTACAGCGCTTATAGGAGACCAAAAAAAGTTTATTGGAAACCTTAGGAAATCTGAATAAACGCACGAATTAGTACAGTAGTAATGTGGTGTCAAGTTTAGTGAAGTCGTTTTATACGAGTATGTAGAGCTACATTCTTTCAATTAGGCGGTTATCACAGTGCGCCGCGCTCCGCCGCGGATTGACACGTTGTCAGTGTGAAGTGCCGCGCGTGTTTTCTATACAAACTGAGGTACTTGCATACAATGATTAAATCTGTCGCCCCGCGCTCCGCGGCGGAGCGCGGCGCAGTGTGATAACCGCCTTAAACTTTCTCCTATACAAATTTCCCATATTGCAACTTGTTTTTAATAGGACCATAACAATATTGTTGTTATAAAAAGTACGCGTACGTACCATAGAAAAAGAAAAAAAATCTCCACGTGCAATTATTTTTACTCACAAAGCTCTAACGATATTTTTGAAATACCATAGCTTTTGCATGCAACAGAAAGTTTAGCGATACAAATTCTTATCCCAGTATGGATTAGGGTCAAAATCCAATAACATCGACCAATTTTCAGCACGTTCAAGGTGGTTACGTGAATATCGACTGCGCACGTCTAGTGTGGTTTTACAGTGCAAGGATAAAACTTAGAAGTAACTCGATCTATAAATTTTTAAAAATTTTGCGCCTTTAAAAATTTACTTATTAATCCTTTAAGCTCCGCGAATCTAGACACAATAGATATAATCAATTGTTATGACATTAATTAATGCCGTCTGGGACTCAATCGGTTAAATACTTACCCATAATCAGAAAGGTTGTTTCTTAAGATTAGTAATATACAGGGTGTTTAGCGAAAGGTTAGACAAACTTCGTGTGTGTATAGGTAACCTTCCGCTTAGTGTAACCTTCCGCCAAACACCCTGTAGATTGGAAATTCGTTTGTAAAGTCAGCAGATTTATAAATAATTGTCTTATTTTTGTTTCAAAATCATTAATGTATTATGGTTCATCACGTTGTATAGACATTGCGTCAGCTAAATATGTTACTAAATATTAGCTAAATATTTTGTACTTACTTGGTGATTTTCTTATGTCTTTTATGACTTTTTAACTCTTCATAATTCGTTATAATACGAAAAGAGCAAAATGAAAAACCGTGTTGCGTTTGTTCTAGTCTGACATCTTTATATTTTGTTTTATAATTTCTTTTAAATCCTGTCCTTGACAGTTTCATCAAAATCATTCAGTAAGTGCTTTATACGTGACAGAGTAACAAACATTATGGATGTTACATACACTTCAAAATTTTCACGTTTATAATAATAGTGTAGGATTTGCTTCTCAAATGTTTTCTTTCACCCACCATAGCTGGTTTCCGCTCTACGCCGCTCGTCTAGTGCTCTCCAGTAACTTCCCACATCGTCGTTTTAATAGAATTACCATCAAGATTCGATACGAGTTTTCAATTTAGTAAATTGCATCAATAACAGAGGTCATGGAGCTGATCTGATGATGGAGACGGAAGGTAGCCATAGAAACTCTGTGACTAAACGATGTAACTCTGTCGAGTTTTGACTCATTTGATTGGTATTGACAAGTACTCTGGTCTTGGATGATATCCAGGGTCTGATCTGAGGATGAAGCATCAATTTTTTCATCATCTGTCTCATCAAAGTTGCATAAAATTGACTTGACGTTACCATCAGACAATCCTAAAAAGGACCATATTTCAAGTCACGAGTGCCCAAAGTGTCACCAGTAACACTCGAATTAATTGACGAAAATACTTATTACAATAGAAACATTTTAATAGTTTTATCGCACAATCTGAGAGATATATTACCGTAGCACACAGAAAACACAAAACAATACAAAAAAAATTGTTTTAAATAATATTTTCTTTTCTTGGAATGTGTCATGTCGGCGGTCGCGCGAATTCAAAATTTCAATTAATGTTTACAAAATCAAAAACCCTTTCGTGCGAGGCATAGCATTTTTTGATATGTGCCATATTCCAACGTTTCACACACTTTTATTAATTTTCATAAATACCAATAAATGGCGCTGTAAAAAAATCATATACTCAAGTGTCACGAGTGACACCGGGGGTCTCAGGAGGTTAAGAGGAGCTTATATTAGGTTTAAAGAACATTCATTTCTCATTTAAAACCTTACAGGGAAAGTTACAAATTTTATATAGGTAATTCACAGGTTGTCCAAAATGTCCAATAGCCAGAACAAGCAGATGTACTTCTGCGGGAACCGTCTTAACAAACTCATAGTACTTACGTAAATTTTGTTGTACATACGTATTAGGACGACTTTAACGTCCTTTACATTAAATTTTAACCGTGCCATGAATTTTACGACACCGTATGCAGTCGGGGAAGGAATCTCTCCTGCCATTATTCTGCAAGATGATCTATAAACTGACCGAAGTATTTTTTGGTAGTGTCCGTTGCAACGTAAACTTTTATTTCACCAATATTGTACCATACTTTTCATAAGTATAATTATGGTAAATACAACTTGATTCTATGCGTTAGTCCCAGTATTTTATTTCCCATAAGAAAGTAGCTTTGATGAAAGTTTTGTATGTAGGTATTAAATTGTGATTGCTACTCGTATGTATTCACATGTCTAGATAGGCAGGCGCAGTAGGTATGTATGTATATTGGGTCAAAACCTTGCCCGGGTGTGAGCTGCATTTGGCCTTATAATTTCCACAGTTAATGAAGATGTTAAAGTCTCCACCGCCTTATTACTCAAACTCACACCCTGTATAATAAATAAATTCTCACTGACCAAGTTTTATCTCTCACGAACTGAAAGAGGGCACTCATTCCGTTCATTTCATCGCACTCCTCATACGAAGTTGTTAGAGTAAGTTTGATAATCCTCGTGGAGGAGACATCTTTGAGGACTTTGCTGGAGAACAGTCTGTGAAAGGTTTAACATGTTCTTCGCGGTTTTATTTTTAGAGGTGTTTTTGTTCAGATTCTGGTGAATAAGTTTTTGGTTTGATGATAATAATATTCTAAGGCTAGGTTGCCATTGGCCCCCAAGAGCCATTGGGTATGCAACAAAAATGCATTTTCCAGTCGAAAAAAAAAAAAAAAAAAAAAAGGTTGCACCAACTTACTTCAACTTTAACAAACGTCAAAAATATGTAAAAAGCACCAGTTATTATTAGAGTTACGGTTAAAGTTAGGTGGTACAAATCAGCCTAAACTATCTTTATTTAGATTTAATTTAAGAAATGAGTAAAGTTTGCACCAATAATGATGCTAATTACTCGTCGTCATATTAGCCCCAAATTTGCCCGATGTCAATTGGAAGTTATCCATTTCAGGATTTAATTTAGGCTTTTAAAACTGTTACTCAATATAGGGTAAACCGTATAGCTATTGCCCACTTAAAGATTTCAAACACATTGAGATGAAAAATTAAATAAAGTATTTTAATTATCGACCATTTATGACTTTTTTCTTATAACTCAATAAACTGTTAAACAGAATATTAACAGTTTTTAGTTAAAACTTACGTAACTTAGAAAATATTGAAATAAATTTAAAATCCTCCAAAAAGTACAGTCATTGCCCATTACTTACACTAATTGCCCACATCAAAGCACAGTAATTGCCCAGTATCTTAAAACAAAATTTTTTTTTTAGTGTTTCCTATTGTAAATTTTAAATCTACTGTACATTGATCTCGGAGCCATCTACTTAGTAAATTCAAATCTAACTAGAGTGATTCAAAGTCAGCACCTGACAATATTATTCTTAAAGCGGGCAATCACTACCAGTGGGCAATCACTCTCTGGTTTACCCTACCTACAATCATTTGAATAAACATACTTTACATTATGTGACTCCAGACAAATGCATTATTTCCTTGCACGAATATATTTTTGTCTTATTGGTTGCCTAAATAAATGCTAACTAAAATAATGCCACTTTGACTGCTCACTGTTGTTTAGAAAGCTAACCAATGATCTAATGTTGTTTTCTAGCGAAGAGATATCAGCGAAGAGCCAGCCCTATCTGAGCAGTCTGAGCAAGAAAGCGCTGAAGATCTGCCAGACACAGAGCCAGAGGTCCCGGGGCATACCCTCATCCAGCCAGAGGAGGGGATGCTGCAGTCTTCGCAGAAATACCCTCAGGATAGTGTGGGGAGAAACGTCTATGGGAACTTGGGACAGCTAAGCATCACGTGAGTGTAGAATCAACAGTTCGTTTTATCCAGGAAGACGCGCGGGGTCGAGGGAAGCGCGGGGTGCGGGGAGCATGATCCGACCAATCCGAGCGTCATCATTGTAGTTAGCGCGCACTAGATGGCGGGACGTGGATGTAGGGTCTGACTGCTGCGTGATTGGTGGATTTTGACATATCTGTCAATGTCATGTCAATTGAAATAACCAATCATGCAGCATTTGAACCTGCGTCTACGTATTGCCATCTGGCGGATTTTTCACTCGCGAAAACCCTCATTGCAACGCTGCCAATGCCAACAATGATCAAACTCTCCGCATCCCCAGCTTCCCTCAACCCTGCGCGTCTTCGTGGATGAAACGATCTATACCTTCAATATCATTAACTAGTTTACCGCCATCAAAACCAGGCCCAGCTAAAATTTTATTGTTTTCGGACCATCGCGGGAGGTGCCTGGATGCGGGCGGCGCTGGACCGGTCGTAGTGGAAATTCTTGTGGAAGGCCTTTGTCTTATGTTATGAAATATATTTGATTTATGTTATGTTTCTTTTCCTGTGAATAATATTATACTCTTTTCAACCATTTCAACGCACTTGTAACGCCCCTGGGGGCGGGTGGCTATGGGCGACGGTAATCACTTACCATCAGGTGATCCGTCTGCTCGTTTGCCTCCTGTCAGTCCTGTCACATAAAAAAAAATTCGTAAACAAAATAATAATCAAGATTATAATGTTACCTAATATACTTAATGAAGAGAAAGATAATAAAAAGGAAGATGAAACCTCAGAGCTTACATTTGTGCCAATATCTACAGATAAGCTCTGTGTAAAACCTTAAAGCTAGGTCCGTATAAAAGGCTCTTTTTACATTATTTTCACTACTTTGCACACAATGACTATCCATCTGACGATCTTTCCTTTTTGTAAGAAAACGCAATGTTACCAGTTTTATGGAAATAACCTGAGGATTCATCACAGCAATTCTTTTGGAAAGATTCTTGTACATTAGAAGATTTTAGGTTTAAAGAACATTTATTTCTCATTAAAAACCTTACAGGTTACTTACATGAGAAATTAACAAATTTTATGTAGGTAGGTAATTTATACCCGGTTGTACAAATATCGGGCTAGAAAACAATACCACCCTTATACGATTTGAAATAAGAACTACATTTGCATTACAGCTATTAGGCTGGGTTGCACCATTTTACTTTAACTTTGACAAACGTCAAAAATCTCTCAAACTCCATACAAAAAGCACCGGTTATCGTTAGGTATATCGGCTATTGTTACGGTTAAAATAAGGTGGTGCAACTCCGCCTAAATATCATATTTCTGTCCAGGTATGGAAAGACTCCCCAACGAATACTGTACACGGGTTTCAGAAAGGCTAACAGTTTATTGGTGAGTAACATTATATTTTAACAGACTTCATTAAATTTAACATTTGATAAACTTTATATCGGGAAGAGCCTGGATGCGGGTAGCGCAGGACCGTGCATTGTGGAAAACCTTGGAGGAGGCCTTTGTCCAGCAGTGGACGTCATTTGGCTGAAACGAACGAAACTTTATATGCACATAATAATTTATGTATATTATTTAAACCGTACAATTTATTAACGCCTCAACCCCTCAACGTAACCACGACCGCTCTGCCAAGAGCGAAATGAATAAGAAGAAGTACAATTTATGACAGTGTTTTTTGTGTGTTATTTTGTTGGGGACAATCAAATGTTTTTTTTTTACAAAATGTTTTGTACATGTCAAGGAACTTCAACAATTTGTTAAATAAAGTTATTTTTAACTAAACTGTCTGTAAGATACGAGTAAGTAACCCATTCTTTTGACTTCACCGCAGCTAGATAAAAAAGACAGTGAACACTTTTTATTTTGTGGTTTTCCTTTTTCAAGACAGAAAGACAAATCCTCAAAAACGTCACCTCTCTGTCCGAGACAAGGAATATCCAAGTAGCCTGTCACTACAACCTGTAATCCTAAGAGATCCCAAAGAATAATGGTGTAACACAAACGTTGACGCGTTACAAATACGAGTCAGAGATTAGGTCCCTCAAGAATTCACGGATTGTGAAGGTTGAAAGACATTAATGTATTTTTATGTTATCACGAGGTTTTGTCTGGAAAGACTGACTAACATAGTGATTATCAACGCACAGCCCAAACCACTGGACGGATCGGGCTGAAATTTGGCATGCAGGTAGATGTTATGACGTAGGCATCCGCTAAGAAAGGATTTTACGAAACTCCACCCTTAAGAGGGTATAACGGGATCCACGCGTACGAAGTCGCGGGCGGCCGCTATTTAACGTTAGTTTTTATGTTAATGTTAGTTTGTAAGCAACAAATAAATAAAAATAACAATAAAACTTAAAATTAAAACCCTTTTATTTCTTTCAGGAATCCACTATTCTTCAAGCTATAGTAAACATTCAAAAGCAAAACAGGTAACTTTTTATTGAGTTTCAAACAATAAAATAATAATCATTTTGATTGGAAATTGTAATACGTAATTACTACATTGATTTGGAAAATAACAACTCGTTAAATTAACTTTCAGGGACAAAGACGTGGTGAGTTATGTTAATAATTAATAAAATAATGGAAGTAATTACGAACGATACATTTCCTTATTCTACTAATTAGAAAACGATTAATTACAAACAAAAATGTACATTATACGCACACAATTATTGTATTTTATAGGAATTGAGCCCGTGATTCTTTAATTTTCGATCTGGTGAAGGTTGCGGGAAGTGCCTGGATGCGGGCATCGCAGGACCGATCGTTGTTGAAATCGATGGGGGAGGCCTTTGTCCAGCAGTGGACGTCATTTGGCTGAAACGAAAAAACTTATGATACAAAAGTGTAACTGGCCATTTTCAGATTGTAATAGAGATCGGACCTCCGTATGAAAGACAGTAAGTACAAGGTATAAACGATTGAGTATTGAGTATAAATGTGGTTTTATTGCTCTTTTTTGTTTTCCCAATATTTTTGAATTTATTTCAACCATTTTTTATTTAATTTTCAAATTAATATTTTATTGTTCAAAACGTAAAACTATTTTGAAAATTATTTCAGATTTGCATCCACGTTACAAAAAGAAGCACAACACAAATCGGTATATTTTTAAGACATAACATTAATTATTTTAGATTTTTGTTGATGGTTTTCATAACGTAAATAAGTCGTGATTAAATTCCATTTATTTTTGTTTTGTTTCGTAGGTTTCGGACGAGGAAAACAATGCCAGTGAAATCTTAGACGAGTAAGTTTTTTGTTTTTCTATTTTTATAAATTAAAATTTCGTTTAATAAAATAATGTACTTTTCACTTTTAGGTCTTCGTCGCTCGAGTCGGAGGTATTTATAGACAAAGTTCTTCGTTAAAAACTAATTCCACTAGCACCGACTAAGCGTCTCGCTAACTTTTTATTAATGCGAACTTTAGGAACTGGAAGCGATTCACATTACCTGCAAATATCTTTCTCGAACACTATATTCGGGCCTCTCCAAGGCGAAACTGAATAGGCATTGACTGTACAGGTATTAGGGAACCACATAGGTACTGCATCTCACTTAACATCAGTGGGCTGAGTGTGAATTTACATTAAACGCGCTCAATATAAAAAAAATATGAAAATTTTAGTTTTGAAACGTTTCCCGCTAGGGGCGCTGAACATCCCATCATATCGTCNAAGGAAGTAACTCAATCTATAAATTTTAAAAAAATGTGCGCCTTTAAGAATTTTCTTATTAAATACTTACCCATAATCAGAAAGGTTGTTTCTTAAGATTAGTAATATACAGAGTGTTTGGCGGAAGGTTAGACAAACTTCGTGTGTGTATAGGTAACCTTCCGCTTAGTGTAGTAACCTGTAGATTGGAAATTCGTTTCTTAAGTCTTTTATGACTTTTCCTGCAGCTTCTCCCACGTTTAATTCAGTTTGTCTTGTCTCAGGTCGTTATAAACTACTTATATCCAAGTAATAAGTAAAGTTTATGATTCTCTTCATAATTCGTTATAATCATGGACCTATAAAAAAAGGCGGACGGAACTCGCGCTACAACAAAACTGTGACGCAAAATTTTGGCGTTTGTCTATTGTGTGAGTGAATTTAGGGATGCCATGTTAGCCAAAACATTTTACCCATTTATTTTAAGAAAAACATAGATCGGCAGATGTTACTTGGAAATGTAGACAGAATTATTCCGTGCCATTTTAAAAGGATGAAAGGTGAATGCGTTGAGGTAGGCGCGAAATTTTCAATGTTCAAATTTTCTTACATTGTTTGCAAGTCAGTGTGTCAGGGTATGTAGTTATGTACATAATGTTGATCAAAAATGATTCACGCAGTTACAAATTACGAATCTTGTGTACATTATAATCATAATCTTATGCATCATCAATATATTATTATTATCTCTGATAGATTTTTTTTAACATACAACCTGACACTGACTTGAAATCAATGTAAGAAAATTTGAATTTTGCAGTTCCACATTTTTGGGACCGACACTAAGGTGACGAACCTTTTCATTTCGCGACTGTACATACGTATTAGGACGACTTTAACGTCCTTTACATTAAAATTTAAAGGTGGACCATAAATTTTTCGACACCTTATGCAGTCGGGGAAGGAATCTCTCCTGCCATTATTCTGCAAGGTGATCTATAAACTGACAGAAGTATTCTTTGGTAGAGTCCGTTGTAACGTGAACTTTTATTTCACCAATATTGTACCATACTTTTCATAAGTATAATTATGGTAAATACAACTTGATTCTATGCTTTAGTCCCAGTATTTTATTTCCCATAAGAAAGTAGCTTTGATGAAAGTTTTGTATGTATTAAATTGTGATTGCTATTGCTTGCGTTATGTCTGGATAGGCAGGCGCAGTAGGTATGTATATTGGGTCAAAACCTTGCCCGGGTGTGAGCTGCATTTGGCCTCATAATTTCCACAGTTAATGAAGATGTTAGAGTCTCCACCGTCTTATTACTTAAACTCACACCCTGTATAATAAACTAATTCTCGCTGACCAAGTTTTATCTCTCACCAACTGAAAGAGGGCACTCATTCCGTTCATTTCATCGCACTCTCACTCCTCATACGAAGTTGTTAGAGTAAGTTTGATAATCCTCGTGGAGGAGACATCTTTGAGAACTTTGCTGAAGAACAGTCTGTGAAAGGTTTAACATGTTCTTCGCGGTTTTATTATTAGAGGTGTTTTGTGGAGATTCTGGTGAATAAGTTTTTCGGTTTGATGATTTTTCTTTTAGAGTAAGAGCCAGTGAACGCCAGACCTACGTCATTTTATAAAAAGTCAGCAAGGAGTTGGATCTGTCAAAATTGTCTGGCTGTTGCTTCATAATTCACCAATATCCTGACAAACTGACGAACTATCAAACTGACAAGCTTTGCTTAGTTTGGGACTAGAAGCGCAGTGTAAAATGTCCAAGGATATTTATATTATTTATTTATATTTATATCAGCTTATATAAAATGACGTAGGTCTGGCGTTCACTAGCTCTTAGTCTATTTGACTAAACTGTCGTTATTTTAGATTTAATTTATAAATAGGTAAACATTACTTTGTACCAATAATGATGCCAATTACTCGTATGTTAGCCCCAAACATGCCATATTTCAGGATTTAATTTAGGCTTTCAAAACTGTTACTCAATATACCTAAAGTCATTTGATTAATAAGCTTTACATTATGTGACTCCAGACAAATGAGTTATTTCCTTGTACGAGTTTGTTTGGTTGCCTAAATAAATGCTTACTAAAATAATGCCACTTTGACTGCTCACTGTTGTTTAGAAAGATAACCAATGATCTAATGTTGTTTTCTAGCGAAGAGATATCAGCGAAGAACCAGTTCTATCTGAGCAATCTGAGCAAGAAAGCGCTGAAGATCTGCCAGACACAGAGCCAGAGGTCCCGGGGCATACCCTCATCCAGCCAGAGGAGGGGATGCTGCAGTCTTCGCAGAAATACCCTCAGGATAGTGTGGGGAGAAACGTCTATGGGAACTTGGGACAGCTAACCATCACGTGAGTGTAGAATCAATAGTTCGTTTCATTCACGAAGACGCGCGGGGTCGAGGGAAGCGCGGGGTGCGGGGAGCATGATCCGACCAATCCGAGCGCCATCATTGTACAGTAGGCGCGTGAGTTCATGTCCATCCTAAAGAATGCGGTAGTGCTGTTACCTAACTAATTATGCTAATGTCGATATCGATAATTATTACCAATTAAGTAGGTCAACCTTATCTACTTATTCCATATTTTTTGCAACTTATAAGTAAGTATAAGTATAAGTAAATAAGTAAGTAAGTAAGGCCCCGATGGACATGAACTCGCGCGCCTACAGTAGTTAGCCCGCACTCACGGACAACTATATCCATTGAGGGTTTTCGCGAATGAAAGATCCGCTAGATGGCGGGACGTGGATGTAGGGTCTGACTGCTGCGTGATTGGTGGATTTTGACATATCTGTCGATGTCATGTCAATTGAAATAACCAATCATGCAGCATTTGGACCTCGCGTCTACGTATTGCCATCTGGCGGATTTTTCATTCGCGAAAACCCTCATTGCAACGCTGCCAATGCCAACAATGATCAAACTCTCCGCACCCCCCGCTTCCCTCGACCCTGCGCGTCTTCGTGGATGAAACGATCTATACTTTCAATATCATTAACTACACTCAACATCAAATAAACCGCACCTTCCGCGACGCGAACTTTAAAGATTTTCCCCAACAATATTGGTGTTATTTGAAAGCAAAATAAATATCCTTAAAGAAAAATACATTTCATTTCTAAATAAATGATTAACATATACCATAAATGTGACTTGAAAATAGACCTCACTTTGGGCTCACCTCTGGGATCAATTAGACCAATTTTTATGGTTATAAAACCAAACAAAGATCTCAACGTGTCCTCTTTAACAGATGGATAGCGATTAATCCCAACTTAACAGTTTTATAGTCAAAAAAATAGCTATAGCGTAACTACCTATTTTTTGAAGAAGTGACTCTGGATCCTTGTAAAGACACATTTTTGGGGTAAAAACCTTTCCTTTAATGAAATGAAGTTTAGAACTAGGCTTTCAAATGGTACCAACGTTGGTGGGAAGTGGGGATGCATACGTTTGATAAGTGCTTGTCGCGGGAGGTGCGATTTATTTGATGCCGAGTGTAGTTTACCGCCATCAAAACCAGATCCAGCTAAAATTTTATTGTTTTCGGACCATCGCGGAAGGTGCCTGGATGCGGGCCGCGCTGGACCGGTCGTAGTGGAAATCCTTGGGGGAGGCCTTTGTCCAGCAGTGGACGTCATGTGGATATAGAACTATAGTTGTAAAATAATGTATTGTATTGACGTTTTTCTTTCAAAAATCTATCTAATCCTAAAACCTATTAAAGTTAAAATGCGCGTTAAACACTAGTTTAAAATGTCATTTATCCTAGGTATCCTAAATGACAATTTCAACTAGTGATAAACACGCGTTTAATTTTTTGAGAGGAATAAAATTAATGATAATGGCTTGTCTTGAACTTTTGGAAGGCTTTTTGATTTATGTTATGTTTCTTTTTCTGTGAATAATATTATACTCTTTGCAACCATTTCGTAAATAAAATAATAATCATAATTATAATATTACCTAATATACTTAATGTAGAGAAAGATAATAAAAAGGAAAGATGAAACCTCCGAGTTTACATTTGTGCCAATATCTACAGATAAGCTCTGGTTGTAAAACCTTAAAGCTAGGTCCGTATAAAAGGCTCTTTTTACATTCTTTTCACTACTTTGCACACAATGACTATCTATCTGACAATCTTTCCTTTTTGTAGGAATACGCAATGTTACCAGTTTTATAGAAATAACCTGAGGATTCATCACAGCAACTCTTTTGGAAAGATTCTTGTACATTAGAAGATTTTAGGTTTAAAGAACATTTTTATTTCTCATTAAAAACCTTACAGGTTACTTACATGATAAATTTACAAATTTTATGTAGGTAGGTAATTTATACCTGGTTGTACAAATATCAGGCTAGAAAACAAGACCACCCATATACGATTTGAATTAAGAACTACATTTGTATTGCAGCTATTAGGCTGCATTGCACCATTTTACTTTAACTTTGTATGGAGTTTGACAGATTTTTGACGTTTGTCAAAGTAAGGCTGGGTTGCACCATATAACTTTAACTTTGACAAACGTCAAATATCTGTCAAACTCCAAACAAAAAGCATCGGTTATCGTTATATCGGCTATTGTTATTGTTACGGTTAAAATAAGGTGGTGCAACTCAGCCTAAACATCATATTTCTTTCCAGGTATGGAAATACTCCCCAACGAATACTATACACGGGTTTCAGAAAGGCTAACAGTTTATTGGTGAGTAACATTATAAATTCTAACAGACTTGATTTTTAACATTTGATAGACTTTATAAAGTAAGTATGTGAAACATATAATTATGTCAAATGTTTGTGTCCCATCTTCTTCTATTCGTGTCGACAAATACCTACTTACCCGTCAGCCAAAACTCCGCGACAAGAGCGTAATATTATCCCTGCGTATAGTTGCTTGGGCACGCAGGCCACGACATCATGACATGCTTCGTCGACTGGGGTACAAAACCACACTTATACTCAAAGTTTGAGCCATCCAAGAATCCCTATTTGAACAGATTGTCCTAACTACAGCCGACCTGCGTCCCTGAGTCATTTTCTTTAGACTTTAGAGCAATAAAATGCTTCCTTCTGGCGCAGTCGGGTAAAAAAGCAAATAATGTGACCATTATTATAATGAGTCTAGTTATGCAGAATCCTGTAAGATCACCAACTTGTAATAATATCATCAACTCATTCTTTTGACTTAACCGCAGTCAGATAAAAAAGACAGCGAAGACTTTTTATTGGGTGGTTTTCGTTTTTCACGACAGAAAGACAAATCCTCAAAAACGTCACCTCTCTGTCCGAGACAAGGAATACCCAAGTAGCCTGTCACTACAACCTGTAATCCTAAGAGATCCCAAAGAATAATGGTGTAACACAAACGTTGACGCGTTACAAATACGAGCAACAGATTAGGTCCCTCAAGAATTCACGGATTGTGAAGGTTGAAAGACATTAATGTATCTTTATGTTATCACGGGGTTTTGCCTGGAAAATATAACTGTCGTAGTTTAACTTTAAAAAGTTGAAATGCAATTGTATCAATATTGCAATGTTAACATTTTTTGTAAGCAGATTATGTAATGTATGTATGATCAAATAATCTTGATAATATTAGTTTTTTATGTTAACTGCTTACAAATAAATAATAATAAAATTCATGAAATAAGAATAAGAATACATTTATTTGCTTAAAACCTTTTTATTTATTTCAGGAATCCACTATTCTTCAAGCTATATTAAACATTAAAAAACAAAACAGGTATTATTATTGAGTTCCAAACAATAAATAATGAATCATTTTCATTGGAAATTGTAATACGTAATTACTACATTGATTTGGAAAATAACAACTCGTTAAATTAACTTTCAGGGACAAAGACGTGGTGAGTTATGTTAATAATTAATAAAATAATGGAAGTAATTATGAACGATACATTTCCTTATTCTAATAATTAGAAAACGATTAATTACAAACAAAAATGTACATTATACGCACACAATTATTGTATTTTATAGGAATTGAGCCCGTGATTCTTTAATTTTCGATCTGGTGAAGGTTGCGGGAAGTGCCTGGATGCGGGCATCGCAGGACCGTTCGTTGAGAAAATCGATGGGGGAGGCCTTTGTCCAGCAGTGGACGTCATTTGGCTGAAACGAACGAACGTATGATACAAAAGTGTAATTGGCCATTTTCAGATTGTAATAGAGATCGGACCTCCGTATGAAAGACAGTAAGTACAAGGTATAAACGATTGAGTATTGAGTATAAATGTGGTTTTATTGCTCTTTTTTGTTTTCCCAATATTTTTGAATTTATTTCAACCATTTTTTTATTTAATTTTCAAATTAATATTTTATTGTTCAAAACGTAAAACTATTTTGAAAATTATTTCAGATTTGCATCCACGTTACAAAAAGAAGCACAACACAAATCGGTATATTTTTAATACATAACATTTTTTATTTTAGATTTTTGTTGATGGTTTTCATAACGTAAATAAGTCGTGATTAAATTCCATTTATTTTTGTTTTGTTTCGTAGGTTTCGGACGAGGAAAACAATGCGAGTGAAATCTTAGACGAGTAAGTTTTTTTGTTTTTCTATTTTTATAAATTAAAATTTCGTTAAATAAATTAATGTACTATTCACTTTTTAGGTCTTCGTCGCTCGAGTCGGAGGTATTTATAGACAAAGTTCTTCATTAAAAACTAATTCCACTAGCACCGACTAAGCGTTTCGCTAACGTTTTATTAATGCGAACTTTAGGAACTGGAAGCGATTTACATTACCTGCAAATATTTTTTCCGAACACTATATTCGGGCCTCACCAAGGCGAAACTAAATAGGCATTTACTGTACAGGTATTAGGGAACCACATACTTACTGCAGAGATTAAGTGAGAACTTAACATCAGTGTGCTTACCATGAGTTTACGTTAGGTGAGCTCGCTAGCGAATACGTCAAAAAATTCTATGAAGATTTTATTTCTTGAAAGTAGCCGCTAGGGGCGCTGCACAATATGTCACACATTTAAATGTCATTTTTTTACGCAGTCGCTAGCGAGCACACCTAACGTAAACTCATGGTAAGCACACAGTGGACTGAGTGTCAGTTTACATCAAACGCGCTCAGTATAAAAAATGTATGAAAGTTTTACTTTCTAAACGTTTCCCGCTAGGGGCGCTGAACAATCCGTCATACATTTAATGTCATTTTTTGACGCACTCACTAGTGAGCGCGTTTGATGAAAACTCACACTAGGCCCTCAGGTGTGATTATAGCTCTTTGCTCTATAAAAATAATATCACAATCATAGAACTGACTCAACACAATAGTTCAGCAGTTTATTTAAATTGGATCTTTGGCGTTTTGGGCAAAAATAACTCTCTTATTACCACAGGACAATGACCCCAGAAGAACAAACAACCGATACAAATACAGGGACCGTGACAAACTACACGGGTCCACAAGCTCAGAAACCAGCAACGAAACTGAGTCAGAGTCGGACAGTTCTGACTACGATAAGAATCCGGGGAACCCCTACACTTTGCACAAGGAGAAATACAAGCAGAATTACTTGTGGAACCATTTCGTAAGTGTTTTTAAATGGAAAGGGCTCGTTCTCACGGTAATACAGTTTGGCAGGACCCAGGAGGATTCCGGAATACTGGACTGTCATGTCTCACACAGTGTGTGTTGGAAATTTAAAAAAAAAGCATCAGTAGAACATTGGATGACTAAGATCCAGTGAACGCCAGACCAATACTGCTGAAAATTTGTCATGTCATGTTGGTCAAACGATCTTACCTACCTCTACAAGTTTTGTAACAATATTTGTATTTATTGTATTGCATATTATTTTAGATGGACGGCAATCATATGAACATTAACCCATCGGGCCCGATGTTCGGTATACCTGGCCCGAACGGTGTCGATTTGTTCTTTGGAAGAAAATGGTGGTATTTCAACCAGGTAATTAGAATTCTTGACATTAGAACCCCCGCAGACTACAGATTCTAGTCGGCTGATAATTTAATTGGGCTGTTAGAGCGAAAGCACACTTGCATGCGGCGGCGGTGCGATGCCGGAGCGGTGTCGCTGCGTTGTCTTACATAGAAATATCTCTGCCGGGCACACGAGAGTTGCGGCAGGGTGCGAAAATGATCCAAACGCGCCCTCGCTCCGGAGACGGCCGAGGGGTTAGAGGAGGCGAAAATATGATCGCCTCCAGTTTCCTCTCCTTGGTGATGGCAAGCGGGCCGGGGGCGTGGGGGCGCCCTCGCCTGCATTGCACAGACCACCACCACCGTCGGACGGGAACACCTGTGTGCTCCTAGCTGCTCCCGTCGCCCCCCGTCCTGAGGGGCAATAGGGCCGTGTAGGCGGGCAATCGCCGGGAGGGACTGTGGTAGTGAAGGGTTTGTCCGGAATCCCATCTTCCCACTTAAGGCGAATGACGGAGCACCGGGGTATTTTTAGTGGGTATGCCTTTGTCCTTCTGACTTGGTGAGCCCCACATAACCTACCCTGTCCCCGCAGGGTAGGTATGCAATTTCAATGCACTTTTTCCGCGGAAAAAAAGGGCGTCGCGCGATATGGCGCAATCTTTGAGATGCAGCGCCGCCACGCCGCCGCATGAATCAGTATGAACACGCATATTAGGTACCTTCTACAATTTGGAATCAGCCGATTCCTCATAAAGATTAGAAGTCAACCAAGCTAACGGTCAATAAGAAGTCTGTAGTCTGCGGAATATTTTATGCTTATCCTTCGTACCTGTCTTTTCTATGATAAACGTATAGGTAAAGTAGTAAAACTAAGATTCTGACAATATCTTTCCTTTCCAGGACGACTACAAACCGTTAAGATAATAAAAGTGGTGATAAATAAAGAATATTCTCACGCCCCTGCGTTTCCCTTCACAAACAGTTTCTGCCGAACACCCATAAACTAAACCTTCACAAATCATTCGAAAAGTCCAAAGACGAATACGTTTTAAGACTTTCTCATACAGGGTGTTCTATATAAATGGCATGGCAGGATTGATTCAATATTTATTTATTTAAAAACTTTATTGCACACACATAAAAACAGTACAAAATACGAACTTAATGCCATGTGGCATCATCTACCAGCTAACCATAATTATAAAACTGAAGCTCAGAATCTTTTCAGAAAAAAACGCGTTTATTATAAGAGCAATATTTATTTTAATAGAAAACTTTACCATGAAGTAAAACACAAAATAACGTTTTTTGGCATATTTTACACGTTCCACACCACACTGTTTTAGGCTTGTTTCTCACGTATCACAACCACACCACACTATTGCGACAAAAAGTGGTCAAGCTGTGGACACAAGTAATTAATGTCGCTGCGACTTCTTACGGTTGCGTTGTGGTACCCTACAAAATGTGGGTATGATTGCATTGTCGCTATGGTGTCATGTTCATAGCTTCGCTTATGGTTGCGACGTGACTGCGGTGTGGTTGGTATCACACATGCGGTCGATAGAGACAGCAAAACGTGGTCCGTGTGAATTGGACTATTAATTTTGATAGAAATTAGAGCCCGCCCAAGTATTGTGGTTGCGGTATGTAATTATGCTGTGGCGATGTGATAATGGTACGTGTGAAATAAGCCTATGTTTCGTTGTATCCTCTAGATGAAAGGAAAATTATAGTTTCAAGGCCAGATTTTCTAGCACACCCTGTATGGACATTCGTAACANACCTGTAGGCCCCGCCGTGTAGGCGGGCAATCGCCGGGAGGGACTGTGGTAGTGAAGGGTTTGTCCGGAATCCCATCTTCCCACTTAAGGCGAATGACGGAGCACCGGGGTATTTTTAGTGGGTATGCCTTTGTCCTTCTGAGTTGGTGAGCCCCACATAACCTACCCTGTCCCCGCAGGGTAGGTATGCAATTTCAATGCACTTTTTCCGCGGAAAAAAAGGGCGTCGCGCGGTATGGCGCAATCTTTGCGATGCAGCGTCGCAACGCCGCCCCAAACGCATAGTGTGCTTATGAACACGCATATTAGGTACCTTCTACAATTTCTCATAAAGATTAGAAGTCAACCAAGCTAACGGTCAATAAGAAGTCTGTAGTCTGCGGAATGTTTTATTCTTATTCTTCGTACCTGTCTTTTATATGATAAACGTATAGGTAAAGTAGTAAAACTAAGCCTCTGACAATATCTTTCCTTTCCAGGACGACTACAAACCGTTAAGATAATAAAAGTGGTGATAAATAAAGAATATTCTCACGCCCCTGCGTTTCCCTTCACAAACAGTTTCTGCCGAACACCCATAAACTAAACCTTCACAAATCATTCGAAAAGTCCAAAGAAGAATACGTTTTAAGACTTTCTCATACAGGGAGTTCTGTAGCTGCTCTGTAGTCCACTTTCTGACTGACATGATTGATTCAATAGCTATAACATTTTTTCTTTTCCTGATAATACGAATCCCCAGATAGAAACTTTACCGTGAAGTAAAACACAAAATAACGTGTTTTAAGCGTATTTCACGGTGTCGGTGGTTGCGACCTGGCTGCGGTGTAGTTCTCAGTGCTCACGCGGTCGATAGTGACAGCAAGGTCCATGTGAATTTGACTATTAATTTTGATAGAAATTAGAGCCCGCCTTAGTATTGTGGTTGCGGTATGTAATTGTGTTGTGGTGTTGTGATAGTGGTACGTGTGAAATAAGCCTATGTTTCGTTGTATCCTCTAGCTAGACGAAAGGAAAATTTATTATAGTTTCAAGGCCAGATTTTCTAGCACACCCGGTATGGACATTCGTAACAAAGTTCAGTATTTTATGTTGTGTTCTAGACGTAATACTAGTTTTATGTTTGTTATAGAAGTTTAGCGTCTCTACAGAATACTAGAACCAACCGCAATGATATTATCTTGGGGAAAATTGGAGAAACTGTGTAAAACTTACTTAGAAGTCAAAAAATTACTAAGTCGGAGTCGGTTATCGTTGCAAAGTCGCTCTTCTAACAACTACTTAATGATGCCACAGTTGACCTTAATGTGGTGTTGTTTTTTCAAATTATACATATCCGACAGCAAAAGCTTAATAATTGTCAGGTAGGCACTGTGTAGGTAGCATGTAAATGGTATAATTGGAATTTCGAAAATTCTCATCTGCTCAAACTATCTAGCTGCTAGAATCCGAAGGCGTATAACTGATATTATATTTTGACCTTTAAGCTTTTCAAATTCCTAGAAGTCATGTTCTTCAAGTAAATCTAGTTCTAGCCAGAAGGAAAAGTCCAGCAAAATCGTTTCATAAAGGGTGGTTGCAACGAATTGACCTTTACTTCGAAAACGACCTTTACTTCGAAAAGGACTTTTACTTNATTTACTTCGAAAACAGACGATCGTTGCATAGGATCGTACGGGAATATTTGCATAGTGGGAACGAAATAGGATTCTTAGAATAGCTAGATACACTTTCGAGAATTTCCAGAGTTCTATGCCTTCGAGAAACGTGTCTCTGAAGTCTGAGATACTTCGTTGAAATTCCAGAGTTTTTTGAATGAAATATCTTACGGATCCTGCGTGGGAAGTATCGGCATACTTGACATTTGCAGTGTTGGCTACATTTCACTGTTGACCTAAGATATTTGAGAAAGTTTGAGGCAATCTTTGTTCTATATAGACAGATAGTATAGTAGTAAAAAAAACATCATTTTCGTAAATCATTGACCGATATAACACTAACTTAAAATCTTTGAAAATAAAAAAAAGGTTTATTAATTAAAAAGACTGCTGCTATCAACTTTTGCCATTGGTTAGATTCACCAAGACTTTTGCAGTCTAACTAATAAATGATTGTTTATTTTTCTTTGAATATTAAGTACTTTTCTAAGTACACCCACTCAATTTAAAAAGTAATTTTAAAACTCTCGTAGGAGTTGTTTGTAGTCTATGCTCAATTTAGAATACAAAGTTTCGGAATAAGTAAGTAAATATAAGTAGTTAAATAATTTGCTTTTTAAAACTTATGTTTTAAAAAAGAAGTTTTAAAATATTTATAGAAATGTTAATTGGTATTTTCTTTGAAAGTTATTATTAACTTTCAGAGAAAATACTAATTACCGTTTATAGAAATTCACAAATACTTTTGTAAAAGAAAATATAGTTGGTGCCTTGGTGGTAACTACAATATTCTAGTAACTAAGTATACCTATGTGAGAGTGTTTTATCATCATCATTTCAGCCATATCCATCCACAGTCACTGCTGAACATAGGCTTCTCCCAAAGATTCGACCAATCTGGAATTTTATTAGTCTTTTGGCAACGGCCTAACACAGTGTTATCCCAACTAATATTATAAATGCGAAAGTAACTCTGTCTGTCTGTCTGTCTGTCTGTCTGTCTGTCTGTCTGTCTGTCTGTTACGCTTTCCCGCTTAAACCTCGCAACCGATTTTGATGAAATTTGGCATAGAGATAGTTTGAGTCCCGGGAAAGAACATAGGATAGTTTTTATCCCGGTTTTTGAAACAGGGACGCGCGCGATAAAGTTTTTCTGTGACAGACAAAATTCCACGCGGGCGAAGCCGCGGGCGGAAAGCTAGTTATTTCATATACCCGACTGCGTCAGAAGGAGGGTTATGTTTTTTAATTTTCTTTTCTGGTAAGCCAATTATCCAGGTGGTGTTTAAAATTATTATATTGACATTTAATGTTGTTTGTTATAAAAAAAAAATCTTGATATTACAAAACACTATCAATTACCTAAAGTCTTTCCCATTAATAAGATACTTTGTCTTCAAAACTAATCCACAATAAATCTGTTATTCTTATTACCATAAAATCCTCATATAGCAATAAAACATTTACCAGGCTGTTTCTTAGGTCGCTTTTAGCAATTTATTGCATTTGACAGTAATTGATACGAATAAAATGGATCTAGATGTCAAGGAGTGGGAAAGTATGATGAATTATTGGTTCTACAACACTCGTGTAAGTGTAATGGATTCGAGTTGCTTTTTGCCCGCGGCACCCGCGTGAAATTTAGTGTCACAGATCGGCATTAATTATAGCCTATATGATAATTAATCTGCGTTACAAACAATAATACTGTAAAGTCAACAAAATCCGTTCAGTAGTTTTTGTAAAACTACTTACTGTCTATAACGTACTGTACTGTCTGACATCCAGACATCCAGAAATCCAAACTTTCGCATTTATAATATTAGTATGATCATAAATAAACCTGTCACCAACAATGATAAAAGCATTGTTGTTGAGTTGGAGGTATGATTGCCAGTTCCTCGTTCCTCCTCGCTTCCACTATGGCCCTGATCTTCCATCAGGTGAGATGTAGGCCGTTATGGGTAAAAAGATGGAACTATCAAAATGTTGAAAGCTGTATTGGTAGTGCAGTGGACCAATCGAACGCACAGCGTTGAATAGAGCTCTGTGATTGGTTCGTGTGTCTGTGAGTCCACGCGCACTCTGAGACCTCTTAGTAATGTTTATGAATGCAGGCGTAAGTAGCTCAGATGGTAAAAGCAGTCGCCCGGCAAGCGAAGGGATTTGATTCCCGCCTTTGGCAACTAATTCTAGTGAGCGAAATACGAAACTTTTAAGGAAACTTTTCCTTTAAGGCCGGGTAGCAGAGAAAATGGCGAAAATGAGGTTTTCATTTTTCATTTTTGAGGTACTAAACAGTAAAATTAAAGGCTAAGATTTTTATTGGGCATAGTTGAGGATATTTTCTAGGGCTATTAACGGATGGAAACACGATTTGACGAAGTTGCCTCGATAGAATAAATTCCCAAAGTTACCTCTATTCGTTTTCTAATTATGGTTTTATTTTTAAAACTAGCGGCCGCCCGCGACTTCGTACGCGTGGACCTCGTTTTACTCCATTAGGGGTGGAGTTTCGTAAAATCCGCTCTTAGCACCTATAGCGCATACATTTTAAATTTCAACTCTCTTACTTTAAACACATAGGACTTTCATAATATAAACTTCCAACCCTCCTTTTATCTCCTTAGGCCCAGTAGTTGATTTCTAATGATACATTTTCAGTATACATATGTACCACCACCACAACCATCATTTCAGCCATAGGACGTCCACTGTTGAAAATAGGCCTCCCCCAATGCTTTCTATGTTGATCGATTGGAAGCGGCCTGCGTCCAGCGCTTCCCTGCTACCTTTACGATG